TATACATTAGTCAATCAAGGCATTTCTAGTGCCTAGCACTGGATCCAAATATAATATGAGCAATTAAAGGTAATTGTGTTGTCGGCAACTCTAATATTTTCATAAGTTTCTCCCACATATAAAAGCTTTATAGTAATTTCTAAGTCAATTAGATTATAGCCATCTCCCAAAGATATTTGCATCTAGTTGTTCTGCATCACAGTATAGTGATTATTTTGGTGCACCTATAAATTTACTAGGTTTTCTCATCTTCTGGACGCACATAACTTCTTAAGATTTTTCGAGAGTGACAAAAATCCTTTACTAGATCAAGTTCTTGTGGATTCTTATTCTTTACTAGATCTAGTTCTTGTGGCGCCTAGGAGCATTGGTAGATATATATAGTCCAATTTAAGAAATGTTTATAGGACCTAGTGTGACAACCCAAAATTTAATTTTATAAATTCGGTTTTAAGAAATTCCAAAATAGCCATTTTTCACTTTATAAAAATTTTTACGATAAACACGGTGTTTGAATAAATTATTTTGAGTGACTTTTAAATAAATTCAACATCGAGAATTATCTATTTCTAAAAATCCTAAATTTCTGGGTACATCACGTGCCAAAGTTTTGAATAGAGAAATCATTCTGAGTGAAACTGGGAGGAATATGAGAAACCTAAATCAAGTGTCTATCTAGAACTCATTTTTGAGAAATTCATTTTTAACCCCAAACTATTTCAAATCTTGATTTTAAACCTTGATCCATGAACCTTGGTGGACCACAATCATCCAAACACTTTGCCTCATTCAACCTTTAGCAAACTTTTACCTTTTTGCCCTCTACCAATCATTGAGTATCCTCATAGGGTTTTGAACCCATATAAAAAGAATAGTAAGCTCATTTATCCTCTCCTGATTCCATTCTTGGTTTCCCAACCTTAAGCTCTGCAAGAAAACCAAAGGAAAACACAGTAAGTTTCATAGCTACTCTCATCCAATCTTAGCCTTCCATTGTTCTCTGCATTCTTTCTATCCTACCTCTCTGAGAACTTAGTCTTAAGGTTATTGTATGGTTTGTTTGAGATGTTTAGGAGGTGAAGGAGAGTGTAGCTAGCTTGGGAAGAATGTGGAATCCCAGCAAAGAGGAGGAAACTACAAAGGTATAACCCCATGGACTCCAAAGCTTTTACAGACTCTGTGAAGTCTATTTATTTATTGAAATGCCTAGAAATGCTAGATACTTGTTGTGTTTGAGCTATTATGTGATTTATTGTTGATCTATAATGTGTTGTTGAGGATTTGGGTGTTAGATTGTCTGAAAATGTCTTACAGGTGAAGAAGAATCTCACTGGTACACCGACAGCGTGCACCAGATGGGGTCACGGGACTAGCCAACGACCCTAGGCAGGGACCGTTGGCAAGCCCCGTGGAGGAACGGCCCTAGGGCACGACTCAGGGCTAGAGTCGTGGCCCTAGGCCGCCGCTTGGCGAATCCAGGCGGCGGGGCTCCTCAAGCCCCGCCAGGCCAAAGCTGTGCAGTGGCCGGGTCCTTGTGGCTCAGCTACGTGTCGTTTTGGACCGGGACTCGCGAGCCCTTGAGGCTCGGACACTCAGGATCGTCACAACGCACGAGTAGAATTTGATTTCATTGAATTTGGAGTAGAAATGAGTAATTTGCAAAAGAATTTGTGATGTTTTATGCTATAGAAGTTGTCTGGGAACATTTGCAGTGAATAAAAATGTGGAGTATCATATTTAGCTATTTGTTTGAAGAGCATGACAATTGTTAAACTGTTAGACTAAGGAGCATGGACTTTATTTGTTAAGTTTTGCTAGAAAAGCATGTCTATTATGACTTGATGAGACTTCTTGCCAAGTTTAAGAAATATTGAAAGTGTAAAGAACATGATTTCTTGAATGCTAAATTATCGTTAATGAGATTATGTTGCGTATTTTGAGTTCAAGTGCATGTTCGATACTTGCTAAGTGTTTGCTAAGAAGAATTGCTAAGTAATGTGATTTAAGCATGATTTGGTATTTGTTTGAGAGTTCACAGTGAAATGAAAGTGAAGTATTGCTTATAGTAAAGTTCATATTTGAGCATATCATGATGTTAAGTGCATGAGTGGCTTAATGTAAGCCTAAGTATTCTTTTAAAAACATATATCTATTTTGGAAAATCACTATCTAGTTGCATTGGGAAGTTGCATGATAAATGATTTCCAATTTGTGAGAAAAGAGAAGTTGTTGAGAAGTTATGTGCATAAGTTTGCATAAGTAAAGTTGTTGCATGAGTTTGAAATGCATGAGTTATATCTATATGTATCTAGTGTGAGTAATCCGAAGTTCTGGAAGCCCCTTAGGACTATGTCCTTTCGGAAGAAAAGCGAAAGAAAGAAAGTAAAGAAAGAAACGGACATTGCGATCCAATATGAAGTAATGAGGTTGATATTCCCGAGTTACTAGGTTGGAAACTTCCCGCCAAGCTTGGAATCCTGGTCAGGGGTGTGCACACTGAGAGTTCGATACCTAATTCCACAGAGTTTGAGAAAAGAACCAAAAGAGTGGTTCTGTGGGTGAGATGAGTATTAGGCCGGCTAGATGTCGAGCCCAGATAGGTCCATTCACATTATGGTGAAGTTCCTACCTCGCCCACGAGTATAAGTAAAGAGAGAAAGCGAGTCATTGCGACTCTAAAGAAAGCAAGTCATTGCAACTCTAAAGAAAGCGAGTCAATGTGACTCTAGAGAAAGTAAAGAAAAACGAGTCATTGTGACTCTAAGAAACCTCCACAGAACAAGTGTTCCTTGTTACCAAAGAAAGAGTGTATATGCATACCTATCTATACTTATACTATAGCATCATGTTCATCTTATTGCATGATTAAATGATTTGCACGTGTTGCATGGAAGTGAGATAAGAAGCATGACATTATATTGTCTTTCATTCATATTTGATAGCATGAGATTGCTTATTGAGTAAATGATAGCATGAGATTGCTTATTGAGTTATAAGATAGCATGAGACTGCTTATTGAGTAAATGATAGCATGAGATTGCTTATTGAGTTATATGATAGCATGAGATTGCTTATTAAGTTATAAGATAGCATGAGACTGCTTATTGAGTAAATGATAGCATGAGATTGCTTATTGAGTTATAAGATAGCATGAGATTACTTATTGTGTAAATGATAACATGAGATTGCTTATTGAGTAAATGATAGCATGAGATTGCTTCTTGAGTTATATGATAGCATGAGATTGCTTATTGAGTAAATGATAGCATGAGATTGCTTCTTGAGTTATATTATAGCATGAGATTGCTTATTGAGTAAATAATAGCATGAGATTGCTTCTTGAGTTATATGATAGTATGAGATTGCTTATTGAGTTTATGATAGCATGAGATTTCTTATTGAGTTATATGTTAGCATGAGATTGCTTGTTAAAGTATAAGTATATTATTAACCATCAGTTTGAGTATGATTAGTGTATATCGCCATGATAAGTTATGTATGTGAAAGCATGAGATTGTTGATGAGTTAAATGATTGAGAGAGTATACCTATTTGATAATTAGGTTGCAAGCATGTAGAAACCTTGTTGAGCATGTTTAAATGCTGCTTAAGTGATTGAGAATACTTGATCTAAATATGTGAAACAAATGTTTTCCAAAAGTATATACTGTAGTACTTTACAGGGTTGAGTGGCGTTATACTTAGTTTCACGCTAACAGGTTATTTTCTACTTGTTTGTTAACCCCTTTCAAGTGAGCCCAGTTCATAAGAGCATTCGAGTTAGACTAGATTAGCTTAGTATGCTAGTAGTAATCTAAACTCTTATTTCAGTTATGTCATTTTGAGACTTTGGTTGTATACCTATCCAGCTGTTTTGATGGTGCTAGACACCGAGGCTTCATTCCCCAAGTTTATCTTGTAGTTTATTTGAGTTTGACTCCAATTAGATTCCCTTTTTGTAGCCTGTGCAGTCACCGTGGGTGGTGACTGTGGCGATAACACCCTTGTCGAATGTTTTATTTAAAGCTTTAATCTCGTTAAGACTATCTTTGAAAGTTAAGTATATGTGGTTTAGTGTTTAGAAAAGTGTGGTGTTACACCTAGTCACTCTTTTATGAAATAGATATGATTGGCAGATAGTTGAAAATTGATTAGTTTATGAACTTCCAGTTCAGTCTTAACTAGTACGTGGTTTTATAAATGAAGATCATTCCATTCCATGGAATTTTTCTGGCATTCTTATTAAATTTGGATTCATATCTCCCCCTAATGCCGTGAACCGATCTTCATAAAGTATGAAGTCAATGTATCCATTACTTCCTTGTCATGGGCTCTTAGGAACCGACGGAGGCATACAACCAATGTGTATTTGATAGCCTTTGATCTAGAGATACACCGTGGTGGTGTGACTGTAAAATGGACTGCATACTACAGAGTTGGAAAATGTACGATTTTGAAACCATGTATCGGGTATAAGGGGGAATAAGGATATGCAGTGTGCCAGAGGTTTAGAATTAAAGTAGTAGCATGGAATATTTCATTTCCCCAACAAGTATCGGCAAACTGAATTTTTGAAAATAATGGTCTAGCAAGCATTTTAGAAATTCATAGATAAGGAATTATTCAAAAACAATAGAGTATCTTGTTTGTGAAAGATATATGCTCGCATGCATAAAATAACGAAAGTGATGTATGAAAAGATTGAAACACTCATGCTTCGTCTCCATAATCCTTAAGCTCCTCGCCCAATAAGTCATCATTCAAATTAAGTAACGTGTTTGCTTCAGGAAATGTAGCGTGAGAGGATTCATTTGTCTTCTGCTCATTATTTTGTTGTATCATCATTTGGTAGGCTTCGACCAAATGTTTTGGAGTGCGGCACGTGCGGGACCAATGTCCTTTGCACCCTCACTTATAGCAGACTTGTGACTGGCCAGAGTTATGATGGGATGTATTTTGCTGTCCTTGACGAGTTTGATCTTTGGGCTGCCTATTCTGGGTTCAAGAATCATCGTTATTAGCTCCGCTCCTGCCACCTCGCTTCGGGTCCCTACCATGGCCTCGACCTCTTCCCCTCTGATTTTTGCTCAATTGGGAAACATAGTGTACTTCAGGTACAGGTGCAGCGCCGACTGCACGTGCATTATGGTTACGCATTAATAATTGGTTGTGCTTATCAGCGACCAGTAAAGCAGAAATCAGCTCTGAATGCTTAGAATAGTTTTTGGTCCTGTACTGCTGCTGAAGTACAAGATTATTAGCATGAAATGTGGACAAGGTTTTTTCTATCAATTCTATATCTGAGATTTCCTGCATACAAAGCTTGAGTTGAGATACGACCTTGTATAAAGCTGAGTTATATTTAGTCACTGATTTAAAATCCTGGAATCGGAGGTTTAACCAATCATATTGTGCTTGTGGCAACAGCAGTGATGTCTGCTGGTCAAAACGATCTTTAAGGGATTTCCAAAGGGCATGTGGGTCTTTTTTAGTGAGGTACTCATTCTTGAGATCATGGTTGAGGTGGTGGCGGAGAAAAATTAGGGCATTGGCTTTCTCAGCGTCATCGCTCGGGGAATTTTCAATGGTTGTGTGTTGTAGTTCAGTTGATGTGAGATAAATCTCAACATCAAGGGCCCATGTCAAATAATTGCTTCCATCCAAGGCAAGCTCGGTGAATTCACGTTTGGCAATGGCATCCATAATCTACGTTTCGCAATGGGCATCCATAATATACAGTTTTCAACAACAAAAAAAAAAAGAATAGGCCATTTGGGAGCTCTGTTGAGAGTCAACTCTCCCTCCGACTGATCTCTCTTTGTCCAACTGGTTATGTGAAGCGGTACGGCCGTTGTAATTATGGCGACCCCTCGAGTTTTGCCTATTACCGTTTCGAGACACGTCTTTCCATAACCGTCATGTCAGACGTTACGTCACTCCCTTCCACCGCCCGATCGAGGACACGTTTCACGATCTCGCCGACTGACCAAGCTTATAAATAAGCCACACTTCCCCTCCCATATATTCTTCTTCTTCGGGCAATCTGAGTTTTTCGGCGTTCTCTCCCCATTCTAAATCTCATGATCCCCTCTTTTCTGGCGGTCGGCGTCTTTCCTTCCTCCGCATCAGTTTCATCTTCCTCTGGCCGTCGATCTTTCAGGTTAGCCCTTATTTTCCTTATTTTTCCGGTGCTTTTCCTCCGCTTCTTTTTTCTTTTCTGCCGTTTCTTCATGTCTTCCTCCCCGCCACCATCTTCTTCTGCCGCGGGTGATCGTCAAGGTCAAACCGTGAACCCTCCGGTCACCACCTCCGTGCCGGCCGCTGCCGGTGGCCAATCGTCGGTAGCCCTCGTAGACCCCTGTCGATCGAGAGTCAGGCTACTTTGAGAATCTGGGCTGGCCGGTCGGCTACCGTTTGTCTCTTCGGGAGGTCGACTTCTTGCACGCCCGGCAGTTGCTAGGCACGCCGGCCTGGTGATCGGCTGGTTACGGATCCCCCCAGTGGTTGGTATGTGGGGATCTACTATCAGTCCGTTCGGTGCGGTTTTCGCGTACCCTTGTCTCCCTTCCTTTCTCTCCTCATACAATATTATGGCATTGTGCCCGACCAGCTGGTGCCCAACTCCTATTGCCTTCTTACAGCCTTCCTCACTTACTGTCATCATCTTAGGGTGGAGGCTACCCTTCCCTTGTTCCACCAACTTTTCCAACTAACCGCGATCGGCCTGGTTACCCCGGGATACGTGCAAATACATTCCCGGGACTGTCGCAAGTTCTCGGAAAAGTTAGACTCCTCCCACAAATGCTGGAAGGAAGATTTCCTCTTCATCCACCCGGCTGACCACCTCCCGGCCTTCGATTTTCCTCTGTCTTGGCCGTCGTCGTATTATTGCCTTGACAGAAGGACGACTTTCCCCGAGGACCTGGTTGATCTAGTCCAGCTGATCACTGGGAGCGAGCTTATATCGGCTTGGCGATGGTTGTGGCTCGGCCATGATGAAGGCTGGCTTGCTGCCAGACGATGCTCCTCGAACAGGTTTGTTCTCCGCATAGCAACCACTCAGTACACTTAGGCCCACGAATTTAAGCTTTTCTTTTTTACTCTTCTCCTAGGGAAAAACGATACTGAGCAATCGTCCGAGGGGTCCGAGGAGGAAGAGGAAGGTGAAGAGGAGGAAGCACCGGTTGCTGCCCCCGTACTCATCGAGGCGCCGTTCCATCCTTCGCGCCTCGGGCCACGCTCGTCTCACTGCCGCCGAGAAGTCAAAATCAGCCTTCCTCTTTTGGAGGAGGTGACAACTCCGAAACTTCTTCACGGCATGACCGCCCACCTAAATCCCTCGCCTGAAAAGGCGAAATCAGCATTCCTCGCTTGGAAGAGGTGACAACTCCGAACTTCTTCGCGGCCTGACCGCCCACTGAAACTCCTCGCCTGAAAAGGCGGAATTAGTCTTCCTCACTCGGAGGAGGTGACAACTATGAACTTCTTCACGGCATGACCACCCACCGAAACTCCTCGCCTGAAAAGGCGGAATTAGCCTTCCTCACTTGGAGGAGGTGACAACTCCGAACTTCTTTGCAGCGTGACCGCCCTAAAAAACTTCTCGCCTGAAAAGGTGGAATCCGATAATCGATACCGTTCTTTCGAAATAACTCAAACTTTATTGCCAACTAGAAGGGGAACTTCCACGAAACTACTGCCCGCTAGGGGCCTATAACAAACTAACTGACTAATAAAAGAAAGGGAAAGGCGCGCCCAGTCGCTCATTGGTAAAACTTCTTAAGATGGTGGGCGTTCCACGTGTGCTCTATAGGTTCACCCTCAGTGGTCTTCAATTGATAGGTTCCTGGGTAGACCTTACTCGCTATCTTGTACGGTCCTTCCCACCTGCTTGCCATCTTTCCGCCTTCGGTGGGACAATTAGCCTCCCTATCTCTGAGTACGAGGTCCCCCACCTGAAAGTATCTCACCCTGGCTCTTTTATCCTGGTAACGCTTAACAGCCTATTAATACTCGACCATTCGAGCGTAGGCTGTGTCCCGCCTTTCTTCTAAGAAATTCGTTTTGATTTGTAGTGTCTCCTCATTGCCCTCATCGTTGTACAACAAGACACGCCGGCTGGGTACTAGGAGCTTTGTCGGGACCTTAGCCTCGAACCTGTACGCCAACGCAAAGGGAGTTTCAGCGGTCGCTCTACGGGGAATCGTCCGGTAGGTCCATAGCACCTTTTCTAACTTCTCTACCCATGTGCCGCCCAACTCCTCTAGATTCTTTCGCAACCCGTCCAAGAGGGTACAGTTCAAATCCTCAATCTGCCCATTCGCCTGGGAATAGGCTATGGATACCTTAATGTGCCTGATCCCATTCTGCACACAAAATGCCGTGAAGGATCTGTTGTCAAACTACCGGCCATTGTTTGTGACTAACTGCTCGGGTAGTCCAAATATGCATATAATGATTTTCCATATAAATCGGCAACATTGATACTTATTGATGGTGGCCAAGGACTCGGTCTCTTCCCACTTATTGAAGTAATCCACGGCCGCTATGCAGAATCAAACTCGGCCAGGCGCTTGGGGCAGTGGCCCAAGTAAATCAACTCCCCACTTAGCAAATGGGATCGCCGTGGTGACCAGGGTGTAAAAGGTGGCCGGTTGAGTGCCTTTCTTAGCGAACGCCTGGCAAGTCGGGCACTTCATCAATGCAGCCTTTCACCATGGTTGGCCAGTAATAACCCTGAATAATGAGCTTTCGAGACAAAGTATTGGCCCCTTGGTGAGCCGCACAAATCCTTCGGTGAGCTGCTACCGTCACAATTTTAGCCTCATCGGGGAGCAGACAGCGCAACAGCTGACCGCTGTAAGATCGCTTATAAGGCAAACCATGATTGGCAATCGAACTGATAGTTCGGCCATACATCCAAGAATGCCCAACGTTTAGAATGATGCTATAGTTAATTATGCTCAACGAAATATGTGCTAGTGCATGTCAAGATGAATCATGACAGGCACGAGTATAGAGGGCACACATAGTTACCGCATTTGTTATCATTTTGTACGTTGTAACACTAAAATAGTTAGTATAAATATTATCTTTTTAATCAGAAAGGGGTGGGGTGGGGTGGGGTGGGGCGAGGGGGAGGGGACGGACGTGAATACATTTTTCACTATAGACTTTGATCTAAGCTACTTAAAGTCCTTGTTTGAAAAATAGCAATTAGCGGATAACGGATTGTGTCAGAGATTTTGATCGACAAATTGTATTAGTTGTTTGTAAAGAGATGTTTGATTAAATGAGTTATGAGCACCAAGTCTCCTTTAATAAATGAGCTCAATGACCTTATTACATTCCCTTGTGAGAAGCCAGGCTTTAAATTATAACAGTTTTTTTTCTTCTTTAAAATGATGTTTTGTGGAAGATTTTTCTTTTCCTACAATGCGAATTTGAAACACTACTTTTAACCGTTTTCAGATTTCAAAAATTTGGAACAAACTTGTTGCACCAAATTGTTGATTACCAAACATTACTTAAAGCAAGTCAAAATGCTGAAAGTAGTCAAAATTTATAGATTTTGGTGGATCTGCCAATAACCAAACAAAGCCAAAGTCTTCTTCTTCTCCGTTACTTTTACTTGATAGAAGCTTAAGCATAGACATGTGGTTTGATGTTAGGGACATCAATAGTTATGCTGTGCAACCGAATGTACCATGCGCATGGTGTATACGGTTCAAAACGACGTCGTTTTGATTAAAAACGCGCGTCCCACTTTAAAAAAAAAAATCAGGTTCGACTCTCAGCAATAGCATTATTGTGGATATATAGTTATGAAATTGTGGATATATAGTTATGAAATTGTGGTTATATAGTTATGAATTTATGGATATTTAGTTCATTCATTGTGGATATTTAGTTCAATCATATATTGTGGATATTTAGTTCATTCATTGTGGATTTTTACTTCATTCATTCATTCATTGTGGATTTTTACTTCATTCATTCATTCATTGTGGATTTTTACTTCATTCATTCACTGTGGATATATAGTTATGAAATTGTGGATATATAGTTATGAAATTGTGGTTATATAGTTATGAATTTATGGATATTTAGTTCATTCATTGTGGATATTTAGTTCAATCATATATTGTGGATATTTAGTTCATTCATTGTGGATTTTTACTTCATTCATTCATTCATTGTGGATTTTTACTTCATTCATTCACTGTGGATATATAGTTATGAAATTGTGGATATATAGTTATGAAATTGTGGTTATATAGTTATGAATTTCTGGACATATAAAAATGTTATTGCCGGGAATCGAACCTGATTTCTTCTTTAAGTGGGACGCGCATTTTTTTTAACCAAAACGGCGCCGTTTTGCAACCATATGCACCTTGCAAGGTGCATTCGGTTGCACAGCATAATTTGCGTAGGGACATAACGTTGATATTTACACTAATTACACTAACGCAAGTGAAAGTTGATCCAAAAAGCTCTATACCAAAGATAAACCATAATTAAGTTTAAAAAAATACTTAATTATATATCTAAATATTTAAATTAAAGTAGTCTCATTTTATATGTCTAATTAAGATAACTAAACAGCTAAACTTAACTAAAGTTATTTATAATTTAATTTTTCATAATACACCTTGTGCTCAGATGACATCCGGGTTGGACTCCCATATGGGAGGTTGGAA